TGATCAGCGTTTGGCCGAGGTGAGACTGAATGCAAGTGACACAAAAAATGATTTGAGTTTTGGATTCCTCAGCAATTCTCCGTTCTAAATCTGGAGAAGTTTAGTGGACCGTATCAGATTTTATGAAGCCAAGCGTGCCAACGTAAGGGATGAAAAATTCTGACTCGAAGAATTTGCTGGAAGGAGAGGCTTCTAAAGGGGAGGATGGGAAGGAAATGTCTGATGGAGAAGTAGAGTCAAAGTTAAGAAAATTATATGATGAAAAAAAAGCAATTTATGTAGATCTTGGCACTGCTCAGGCACGAGAGAAGAAAACTGAGGAAGAAAGTAAGCTCTTAAGCATAAATTGCGGAAATCCATACTGAAGGAAGCTGAAATTGTGGTCACTACATTGAGTGGCTGTGGTGGAGACCTGTATGGAGTATGCTCTCAATCTATTTCAAATCACAAGTTTGGCAATGCATCTGAGGATACATTGTTTGATGCTGTTGTGATCGATGAAGCTGCTCAAGTATAATGTCTTGCCCACATTTTTTCTTTCTGTTCTTTGATCGTTATGGTTTTTGATTGACTAGTTCTTGTATATTGTTTGGAACTTCACTGCTGTCTCTACAGGCTCTGGAACCAGCAACTCTTATTCCTCTTCAGCTTTTAAAATCAAAGGGAACCAAATGTATTATGGTAGGGACCAGTGGCTTCATTTTTTTTGTTCTGAGTACTACATGGATAGATAAATATTGAATATGGACATTTACCATTGAAGGTTGGTGATCCAAAGCAACTTCCTGCGACAGTGCTCTCTAATGTTGCTAGCAAATATCTGTATCAATGCAGCATGTTTGAACGATTACAAAGGGCTGGCCATCCTGTCATTATGCTCATGAAGCAGGTAGACTAAATTGCCATCTACTGAGCTTTTGCATGTTGATTGAATTCCTGAGTAAGCTTTAGCTCAAACAACCAGCCCATAAAACTCATAAAAACGGAGCTGTTATGAAACTAATTACTAATGATCTGGGGACATGTCTTTTCTACGCTTAGATAATGTTTTAACACATGTCGTTGACATGAGATCTGAATGTGTGTTTTTTTCTTTTGAGCGGGGATCCCTAAGCCATCTTTCCCAATGAAAAAAAGGAGAGGAGGAGGAGGTGGAAGCTCGAGAGAGGCTTAAATAAATTTCAACATTGTAACCACAAGTTATCTATTAATTTGACCAACTACTATCATTCCCCATTGTAGTTCTCTTTCTAGAATATGGAAAAAATACTATTTAGATAGTCTAAGTGACCCTCCCCCATATTGATAGTCTTTGCAAATGCATCCTGGCTCTTTACTTAATATAATGTAATGGCAGGTTTGACCTCAAATTAAATGAATTATGAACACATAAAGCTTGTATAAGCAGTATATTTATATATATGTACAATTTGTGATCCCATGTTCTGAATTTTGGAGGTTGCTATGTCAAACACACTATGTTCCAATTGATGCTTGTAATCTGTGTCCTTGGCCAAAAACTTGGATAATCACTAGTTTTTGTAAATGCCTAGAGAGCGGCTGAATAGGACCTAACCAGTTTTGTGTTTTCTTTAAGTTCTATTATAGAGTTCTACACCTCTTAATCCAAAGGTAGGGTATCTAAGTAAACTAAGACTTTGTTATTTGTCACTTAAACTTGATTTCTGCTCTTCAAGTGTTATAACTCGATGTTGCTCCATAGATTGGTCTGTGGAAGTGTTGGTATAGAAATTCTTGTTGTGTAGAACCCTAGTCGACCAGTTCACTTTCCTGGTTGACTAACTCTGGTTTGGAATACCCCTGAAGTCTGTTCTGTTTCTGATAACTATTGTTTTTGAATTCAATCCACCAAAATAGACCTCTATTTTTGTGTGTGTGTGTTACTATGCATGGTCCACAATGTTGCTCAGATGTGTTGAATACCACAGAGTAGGCTTATTAAAGCGGGTTCGGGTGAAAAACCTTTCAACCCGTACACGATTCGTTTAATTAAACAAGTGAAAATCTACAAACCAAATACGACTCGATTAACCCGTCTAATAAATGAATCATGTTAGATAGAGTAGAGTTAACACGATAACACCTTTAACCTGCCACCCGTTTTTCATTAAAATTTCTATATAACTAACTAATAAACATTCTTATTAACTAATTAACAAACTACCACAAAAATATGACATTCAGTGATGCCAACCCATATTAGAAAAACATTTAAGATTATAAGAATGAACTCATCATTAAATTAAATTTAACTAGTCTAATTATTAAATTGGATAAATTATTCTGACTAGAAAAAAACTGAAATAATAATTAATTTTATTATTATATTAATTTTATTTAAATGAGTAAAAAGGTGATAAATGGGTTGATATATCTCACTTGAACATTGACTCGTTTATTAAGCGGGTCTAGCGGATTTGCCCGTTTATCACCCGCACCCATTAAGGTCTCAGTCAAACCTGCTTAACTCCGCGTCGATTCATGTCGTGTCACATTTTGATTGACCTATTATAAAGTACCAACTTGCCTATAATATGTTCAATTCAGATTTTTTTTGGGTAAGAAATCAGTTTATTTTAGTTTTAAATAAAGAATCATGATAAAGAGATAATAGTGGACAAGCCGTCCAACTGAAAAATTGAAGAAAACAAAAGCAAAACACAACTAAAAATTGATTGTTAGCTAAATATAATCTAATTACAAATCACACATTGCTTTACATCCCGCCAAAATGCAGAAGAGAGGAATGTCTTCAAATTCTCTAGTGATTGAAGCCCAAAAAGATGCCAAGAAATATATCCGAGCCTAGAATCCTTTCACCGCTTCACATTGATCATCAAATAATCTGACATTCTTCTCCAATCAAATACCCTATATATTAGGGAGAATAAGTCCGCAAAGTGGTCCCTTTTTTTCCCCAAGAACCATGAAATCCTCAACAAACATAAAAGAAGGAGGCCAAGTACTCACCCACCTTAACCCTGCCACATTAGATAATGTATTCCGTAATGATCAATACTGACTGACTTGCACATCATAACACACTAGTGTGGTTAGAGACAATCAGGAGGTTTTTTTCTTTGAAGCATATCATTGGCGTTAATTTCATCATCTTGAGCCGTCATCCATCTGCAAACTTGTACGTTAATGAGCACTTAAGCCATCCAAATCATCGAAGTTGTGTGGAACAAAGGACTTAAGAGATCATCAATCAAGGATTCATAGAAAGACTTACAAGAAAAGACATCCGAACGAATCAACAACCCGACTTCTTTTATCAAAAGCTCCATGATTCAAGTCGAAGTCATTAAGAATAGAAAGAAGTAAAACAAAATCCAAACTAGTGAAACAAAATCCAAAGTATCTCCATCATCAAGATTTCTATGAAACCTAAGATCCCAGGATAATGAATGAGGACTATGGTAAATCATATAAGAAATGGAAGTATAGTGAGCACAAGAGACCAATAGACAAGGAAACATACATGATTGCGAAGACTCCCCACACCACACATCCTCCCAAAATTGGACTCTCTCCCCATTACCCGCAACGAAATTAACATATTATGAGAATCAAGATTATATTTGGAAGGTGAATTTCTAAGGGGATTGAAACTTTCTCTCAAGCCCCATTAGCATCCCAACCATTGGCTTATAATTCTTATTTGCTCTTAATAAGTGAATGACACAAGGAATTATGTTCTAAAGAAACCTCTATAGCCATTTCCCAACTAAAGTTACATTCCTTGCCATCCAAAAGACCACCTATCGATTTGGATTTGGATAGCACCTCCCAACTAATCAAATGATCGTTCTTTCCCTCATCTCTTCCTTCCCACAAGAAGTCCCTCGCATATTTTCGATCCTCATTTTTACTTTTCCTGACATCTAAAAAAGAGAGAACACCTCGGGGATAGGGGCTATAACATTAGTTCTCTTTACAAATACCCAGACCCTTCCTGCCCTATAATTGGCCATGCACTCCTGAAAAGTAAGGCTCTGTTGCTTCTGGGATCTGGAACTTTTTAATCTCTAAAAGACCATAATGATTGTTGTTGTTTCTGTTTCTGTTGTAAAGAATTAACTTACTGAAAATGTAGTACTAATTTACTCCTATTCCTACTATGTGGGTATATTGGAAGTTGTGTCCTAAATTTTTGAATGCTTACTTTCTAGTTTATGGAACATTGGATTGCCAATAACTTTTAGGACTGACAGTATAGGATGCATCCAGAGATATGCCGGTTCCCTTCTTTGCATTTCTATGACAGCAAGTTGCTTAATGGTGACCTGATGTCCAGCAAAGCAGCACCATTTCATGAAACTGAGGGCCTTGGACCCTATGTATTCTTTGATGTTATCGATGGGCAGGAACTTCGGGGCAAGAACTCTGGTGCTTTGTCCCTCTACAACGAGTGTGAGGCTGATGCTGCAGTTGAAGTACTTCAGTTTTTCAGGAAGAGGTATTTGTGATTGGACAATTTGATTTTTCCATTAGTTGCTTTTAATATTTGCATTGTGGTTGTTTTGTTTAGGTACCCGTCAGAGTTTGTTGGTGGAAGAATTGGCATCATAACTCCTTATAGGTGTCAACTTTCACTTTTGCGTTCGCGGTTTTCTAGTGCATTTGGATCTTCTGTTACGGCTGAAATGGAATTTAATACTGTGGATGGTTTTCAAGGCCGGGAGGTTGATATACTTGTACTTTCCACTGTTAGAGCAGCAGAACCATGTTCCTCCGGACCCAGGATGAACTATAGCAATATTGGGTTTGTCGCTGATGCAAGACGAATGAATGTTGCTTTGACAAGGGCCAAAGTTTCTTTATGGATTTTGGGTAATGCAAGAACTTTGCAGACAAATGAGAACTGGGCAGCTCTTGTCGGGGATGCTAAAGAGAGAAAGTTGCTTATACCGGTTACAAAGCCATATGATGTCATCTTTAAGTCTGCTTTGAAGAAATATTCTGCTTCAGAAAATTCTGATGATCGTTCAAGGAACCTAAAACATGCTGAGAAGGTTAAAAGGTCTAGCAGGCATGCTGAACTGCAACATAAAAATGCAAAGCATTCCTATGAAAGGAAAAGAAAATACATGATCACGGAAACTCAAAGTGCTTATAGTGCAGGTGGAGATGAACATGATTGTTTGGCAACAGGGGATGCTTTCAAAGGCAAGAAAAGAAGAGCCAGAGAAGAACATGATTCTGTAGCGAAGATGGATCTTACATCTGTAGCCGGAAATAGGGTCAATGAGGATATGAAGTCCACAAGCACAGGAGATCAAGTGATAGACCGTGGATATGAAGTCAAAAAAACTAATGAAAAGCTACTCAGTATGGGAGATTCTGCTGTGGCTAAGAGAAAAGGACGTGAAAATAGGAGCAACTTGCATCAGTCTGAGCCGGTGTCAGGTGATGGTCAAAAGGTTGTGATGCCAGTTGGATTTAAAGGACTTGCAGAATCTTCGGAGCATGACAAAAGGCAGATCAGTATCGATATTAGAATAACTTCTCCTGAAAGAGGCTTTCAGCAGAGAGATGGGGATGATAGAACTAGAGCTCCTAATCAAGTTGACATACGCAAAGATGCAATCACGAAAAGGAAACAACAACGTGAGGCTGTAGATGCACTTCTTTCTTCAGCTCTCATATCTTCAAAAAAGACTGAAATCTCATCGAAACCTGTAACTGCAATGAGGCATTTACCTCCAACAAATACTGCAGGGCATGCAATTAAACCACCCAAGCCAAGAAAAGGTAATTGTTTACCAATTTCAACAAGCATGGAACATCTTCAAGTTTGGGAAAGCATTAGTGTAGGAATAGTGTTTATCACCTTCATTTCTTACATATTTCCTACTAGGTAGTGTTCATGATGCTGCTTTCTTAGCTTTGCTATGTAGCCCTACCTTAGTACTCTCATCCACATATGTAGTGTAAATATTCAGCCCAATGTCCATGAGGCTGTGGGTTCATATATGAGGGGAGTCAACTAGGTGAAAAATACCTCAACGTTAGGTCTGTACGTGATCCACTTTGCCCAATACCCTCTTTAGTAAGGACCTTTTAAGTCTGCTCCATATATGCTATGAATATCCAAATCAATAGGCTCCTGTGTGATATGGGTAATCATATAATTGGAGCTGGACAAATGTACTACGGTTTTGGGGGTGTTAAAGCACAGAAGAAAAAAAAATATATAAATCTGCTCATTGTTGTAACAATTGGTCTTCGCTAGGTAAAGACTTTGCTGACAGAATTAGTTAACTTATGCAGTTCAACTTCAACCTGCATCAGTACCAAGTACAACGCGTAGTGAGACTCATCAATACCATCGTAAGAGGGACAAATCTTTGAAGTCACTGGGAATTGGATGAAGCATGAACTTTTCTAATGATACATGTTAAGGAGGAGCTCTGCAATCATCTTCCTGTTGTGCAGTGACACTGAGAATTTAGGGTTCCTCTTGTGCTAACTAGAAGGTAAATTGCTGCCTCAAATGTTTGGACGTTTTTGTTCCAGAAACTACAATTGAGTGAATGGCATTGATAGAGATCAATGACCCTTGCAGATGAGCGTCTCTCAGCATCTGGTTTCTTGAATAGAAATATTTTTTTTCGTTGGACATCAGTTTTGTTGCCCCCAGATGAGCTGTGTATTACTGCCCATTTCTACTAATAATTTGAGCAACTTTTGCTGCAGAAGATTTTTTTCCTTTTATATTTTTGGTAGTATCCCATAAACAGGAGTGTAATACTACATGGACTTAAAAAGTAGACTTGATAATCTCAATCATTGATTTTACTGTGGATCCTAACATTTATTAGGATTCACTACGTATTCAATAGTTGAGATTATCAAGTTTATTTTTCAAGTTCATATAGCATTACTTTAAACAAGATTATGTTATTTCATGTTATGTGCCTAAGTAAATATTACTATTACTAATTTTCATTAATGGGCTTATTTTATTTCACATTGTAGGTAGTGATAATAAATCAATTGTTCATTGTCTTTAATTAGTGCCAGATTTAAATTTCAACGTGCATAATTATCATTATTGTGTCTATGCTTCCATGGGCAAATAGATGAATGCGGGAACAAAATTTATAACAAATTTATCGGAAAAGGCAATTTTCTGAGGCTATGGCTGAATTCATCACACCGGTACTGTCAGATCACAATCTAAGGTTTCCAGGGTTTGGACCGTGACTCTGCAAGTGTCCCAATAGAGCGAGATCCCTCGAGATCTTCCAATCGTTTCAACTTTCTCTGAATGTGTCAACCCAAACTGATGCAAAAAGTTTCCAAACGTTCCACTTTGGATTCTGGTTTCCATCAAGACCACAATTTCTGGGGTGTGGTTCCTATAAATATCACACATAGCTCTGCTGAATTGGGCTATGCCTGCACGCCTATAGTTCCAGGTGAGAATCTTCATAGACACCATATTCATAATCTTCATAGTTCCAGGTGATTGAGAACCCAGATTTAGGATTCCATCATAACACCCTCCTGGCATTCTCCCTCTAAGTTATCAATGGAGCATCTGCTGTCATTGTGGCTGCTATGCAACTCGATGTTGCTCCTCTCAGATGACACATTTTCGATAGAAGATTTACCCACTTGATGACCTAGTTCACTAATGTCAACCAAATCTCTTCCTCCTCCCCTTGAAAGATCAACCCCACATTGTTTGTGTTGAGTTGGGATGTTCTTATAGGAGGTAGCTCCTCCGTATTCATTATTGGCATTCATGGAGTCACTAGATTGGACATATTTAGGATTTGATGGTTTTGGGGGTTCTAAAGTCAGGGTTGTGTTCAGTATAGTGGGGGATGTATCTTCCATTGGTAGGATATTTGTTGGGTTAGGGTTTGGGTGGTCTTCTTTCTCATCAATTGTGGGTTGTTGTTCATATGGGCTTCATTCAGATCCTTGGCCCTAGTGGAAGTGGCCGTTTTTGTCGAACTGTTATCCTCTCCGACTTTACTCGTGTATTCTCTGGCGGGTTTCTTCTGAGAATGAGGGAAAAAATTTCTTGAGTGCCCTACTTGTCCACACGCAAACAAAATTCCTTCCAGTCTATAATGGGAAACCAAGGGGAGGGATAAGTCCCTCTCAATGCAAACCCTTTCAAACTTGCTTCTCTCAGTAGTTGCAGTTATTATATCCACCTTAATTGGATTTCTCATTGCTTTAGCTATTTTGAAGATAATTTTTTCCTCATAGTATTCAAGAGGCGATTCTGGGAGTCTTATCCATATAGCAGTTGAGATATTTGAAGCTCTTGAGGGGACAAAATGATGTTGGAGGATCTAAGTCGAATGATGCTGAGTTATCAGATGACACGTTGATGGCGTTGAGATACCTTGAGTTAGCAGATCAGCGCAAAAATGACAGACCCAAGTTCAAGAAAGGTTGACATAGTTTTAACCATAATTTTTGATCCATTTGAATTTACGGGGCCCATAATATATCAAATTGAAGCTTACGACATTAAAAGCCCAAAAAGACCAAAAAAGGCCTGAAAACATGTGTTTGGACCTTCTGAAGTTTTTTCAGTTTTGGTTTATTTGGATTTTTTTGTAATTTAATTATTCCTTGCATAATTAGGGTTTCCAGCTTATTGTTTAGTATTTAAAGGATGTTTTCATGTGTTTTAGGGTTAACTCTTATTATTATGATTTTATAAAGATTGTGACTGCTTAACCAGTTTTTTGGGCGATTTTCTTGTTTTCTTCACTGTGAATTATTTGTGGAAACTAGCCTGCAGAATAATCGCTATTATGTCCAGCATCAGTCAGTATCAGAGCTTCAGCATCTTCCTGGGGGTGAGAGTTCATCAGTTTCAATGGTTGATGGTTGTGGTCGTCTTGGGCAGGTTTCGAACGAGGAAGTCCCGCATTGTGATCGTAGCGTTTAGGATGTGATGATTGAGGATTTGCAGAGGCAAGTTATAGAATTAACCCGACGTCTAACGACGCAAGATTTCGGTGATCGTGAGATGAAAAATCACGATTCCGATTCCATTTTCGAAAACCCATATCACAATCGTGCTCAATTCTGAGAGCATCGTGGTCAGGAGAATCGTCATGTAGACCTCGATTTAAGAATGGATCTGCTCGAGTTTTCTGGTACGTTATAGGTCGAGGGATTTATCGATTGGTTGAATGAAGTAGAGCATATTTTTTATTTTAAGGAAATCCCAGATCGTGTCAAAGTGAAACTGGTTGTTATCAAACTCAAAGGCAGAACATCTGCGTGGTGGGAGCAGTTGAGGCGATCGCAAGAGAGGTAGGGCACATCCAAGATCACTAATGGAGAGAAGATGAAGGGTCATTTCCTTCCTTTCGACTATACTCAAACCTTGTTTCAACGACTTCATTCATTAAGGCAAGACATGAGATCGGTGGATGATTACACGGAGGAGTTCTATCAATTGATAGCTCGGAATGATTTATCTGAGACGGAAGAGCAGATGGCGGCGCAATATTTAGGGGGATTACAATAGCCCCTACAGGATGTCCTCAGCCTTCACTCGTTGTGAACTATTTTTGAAGCATACCAGCGTGTAATTGCTGTGGAAAAACAGCAGAACAAGAAGCCAATGATTAGAAACGATCAAAGCAATTGAATAGTTCGCTCTCAAGAATCTCGTCTTGCCCAGCAGCAACCGCAAGGTAATTCTAGCTCTAATATTAGATGTTTTAGATGTGGTGAAGAGGGACATAGAACGATTGAGTGCAGGAAGCCTACCAGTCAGAAGGAAAAAAATCTCCTGATTGAGGAAGACGTGGTAGATGAAACTGAGGAGGTTGGAGAGCTTGTGTAGGACGATGATGAAGATGGAGATATACTATATGGAGATGGCCATGAGACTCTGGTCGTTTGCAAGAGTCTACTGACTCCCAAAGGTGATTCAAGGGACGATTGGTTGCAAACCAATATTTTCCACATGACCTACATAGTTGCAAATAAAGTCTGCAAGATGATCATTGACAGTGACAGTTGTGAGAATGTAGTGTCTGAAGAGGCTGTTCAAAAATTACAGTTGAAGATAGAACGTCATCCCAAGCCATACAAATCATCGTGGCTGAATAAAGACAGTGAGATAAAAGTAGATAGGCGATGCTTGGTGCCTTTTTCGATTGACAGGAAATATTTTGATAACGCTGGGTGTGATGTTGTGTATATGGATGCTTGTCATGTGACCTTGGCAGTACGATCGTAGAGTTTTTCATGATAGGCGAAAAAATACATATTTTCTTAGCATCAAAGGAAAGAAGATTGTGTTGGCGCCTCATTGGGAAGGAACCACTCCTATCCCTGTAGCCAATAATACTAAACTGTTTTCTATGTCCATGTTTTTAGCTGAGATTGAGCGTGGAGACGTGGTCTATGCTCTGCTACCTTATGGAAATAGTGTAGCAAACGGGGACCCAAATTTACCAGTAGAGGTGCAACAGCTGCTAGCCGAGTTTTTTGACTTGATGCCAGAGGATCTTCCTCCTAGGCTATTGCCTATGAGGGATATTCAACATCAGATCGACCTTGTTCCAGGATCGAGTTTGCCTAATCGATCGGCCTATCACCTCAGTCCCAAGGAATTTGAAGAGTTGCAGCACAGGTGGTAGAATTATTGGAGAGGGGTACATTTGTGAGAGGATGAGCCCATGTGCAGTTCCTGCCCTGCTGGTGTCGAAGAAAGATGGCTCTCGGCGTATGTGTGTTAACAGTAGAGCGATCAACAAAGTTAGTGAAATACAAGTTTTCAATTCCCCACCTGAATGATATGTTAGATCAGTTATCCAGTTCTAAGGTTTTCTTAAAAATTGACCTTAAAAGTGGATACCACCAAATCAGAATAAGACCTGGAGATGAGTGAAAGATAGCGTTTAAGACACAACATGGGTTGTATGAGTGGATGGTCATGCCTTTTGGGTTGTCCAATGCGCCCAGTACATTTATGAGATTTATGCATCAGGTTGTACGACCTTTTATGGGGAAATTCGTTGTAGTTTACTTCGATGATAACCTCATTTATAGTCCGTCATGTGAGTCACACTTTGAGCACCTTCGTGCTGTCTTTGATATGTTGAGGACAAAGTGCTTGTTTGTCACTCAGAAGAAGTGTTCTTTTTTCACTACTTCTGTAAGCTTTCTTGGTTTTGCTGTGTCTACTGATGGCGTTCATGCAGATCAGTCAAAGATAGATGCGGTCTTGGAGTGGCCCAAACCAAAGACCTTGCACGATGTCTATGGCTTCCTTGGATTGGCGTCCTTCTACCGCCAGTTCATCAGAAATTTTAGCACCCTGATTGCCCCTATCACAGAGTGCCTCAAGGGATGTGATTTCCAGTGGTCTAAGGAGGCAGAGACCAATTTTCAACTAGTCAAGCAGAAGATGACAGATGCACTAGTTTTGGCACTTCCTGATTTTGAAAAGGTATTTGAGGTAATTGTGATGCATCTGGTGTTGGTATTGGTGGTGTTTTGAGTTAGGAGGGGTGCCCCATCACTTTTTTCAGTGAGAAGCTATCGGAATCAAAGAAGAATTATTCCACCCATGATCTGGAGTTTTATGCCATAGTTTAGCCCCTAAAGCATTGTCGTCACTACCCAATACAGAGGGAGTTCATTCTTATCATTGATCATGAGGCCTTGAAGTACATCAATGGCCAACACAAGCTGAGTAGACGGCATGCCAAGTGGGTGGCGTACTTGTAGGAGTTCATGTTTGCGTTGAGGCACCAAGTAGGGAGTCTGAATTGTGTTGCAGATGCATTGAGCCATCGTATGTTACTCCTCACCACCATGAGCACTAGAGTCGCAAGATTTGAGGCTTTCATTGATATGTATGCCGCAGATCCTTCATTCGGGAGGATAATTCAGGAGGAAACTGATGGTCAACATCATGATTTTATTTTGCTTAATGGTTATCTGTTTTGCATATTACAATTGTGCATTCCAGATTGTTCACTAAGGCAACAGATTATTAGTGAACTTCATAACGAGGGTCACTTTGGGCAAGATAAGATGTTGGCTCTGATATTTTCTGACTATTATTGGTCCAAATTGGCCAGTGACGTGGCTTATTATGTGGAGCATTGTTATGTGTGTCAACGGTCCAAGGGAGTTCTCACTAATGCGGGCCTGTACACTTATTTACCTGTTCCTAAGGCCCCTTGGTTTGATGTTAGTATGGACTTTGTGTTAGGCTTACCTCGTACGCAACGGGCCTTGGATTCTATTTTGGTTGTAGTTGACAGGTTTTCCAAGATGACCCATTTTGTAGCTTACAGGAAAACAATGGTTGCTGCTCGGATTGTCCACCTCTACTTCAGGGAGATTGTGCGTTAACATAGTGTTCCTCAATCAATCACTTCAGATTGTGACACCAAGTTTATGAGTAATTTCTGGAGGAGTTTATGGGAGAAAATGGGGACACAGTTGAATTTCAGCAGTGCCCGTCTCCCCCAGACGGATGGTCAGACAGAGGTGGTGAACCGGAGTTTGGGCAACCTTTTGAGGTGTTTGGCAGAAACTAAACCAAAGCAGTGGGATTTGGCGTTACCTCAAGCAGAATGTGCCTATAACAGATCGAAGAATAGAACCATAGGAATGAGCCCATTTGAGATTGTCTATGGTCAAAATCCATCCCGGGTGCTAGACTTAGTCTCTATTCCACATGTAGGTCAATTGAGTCCTAAAGCAGATGAGATAGTAGAACATCTTTGGGGCATCCATGAGCAGGTGAAACTGGCCATTCACGAGAGCAATGCCAAGTACAAGGTTTGGGGTGACAGTCATCGTCGTCAGGTACTTTTTGATGTTGGTGATTTTGTTTGGGCGGTATTAACTCGTGATCGTTTTCTTGTTCAAGAGTATAATAAGCTTAAGGAGCGGAAGATTGGACCCTGTAAGATACTACAGAAGATCAATGACAACGCCTACAGGCTACGTCTCCCTAGTCATTTGAGGACTTTTGATGTCTTTAATGTGAAACACATGAGTCCTTGTTTTGTGGATTTCGATGATGCTACTGTGAACCCGAGGACGAGTTTGCAATCTTATGTTCATTGCCATCAACACACATCTGTTCTTCTTCCATACTTTCATGGTGTTCCTTAGGATTGACCATACGATGAGCAGTCTTCTATTTGACTGATAGCTGATTCCATATATGTTGAAGAAACTACAATAGATCTGAGCGAAATTGATGATTTTCTCTCCTTTCTCTGTTATTACTTAGGGGCTGTTTGGTATGTGGGTTGGGGGGGGGGGTTTGGAACATAAGTTGGGGACTAAACCTCCTTAAGCTCATGTTTGGTAACTATGAATTTAGCTTAGGGTTTGAAATCCGACCCGGTCATGAAACCCTTGTTCATGGGTTTCATGAAACCCATGGGGGGTGAGTTTCATATGTGGGCTTGAGGGTTTTACATTCAAATGACATTTATATTTCCCATATATTTATACCCATATTTGGATTAAATTAGTTAAGGGGCACAATAGTCATTTAAATACAAATATATTATCATAATAGTTACATATTCCTGCGAATACCAAATATGGGTATGGACAACATTAAATATTGAATCCCTTCTTTGAATCCCATTTTTGGTCGAACCCGGGTTTGGACAAGCCAATCCAAACCCCTCCCAAAAAACATACCAAACAGGCCCTTAGGGAGAGAAAATATCATAGTGTTATTACTTATTTTTTTAAATTGCTTACGAGAAATTATATTTTTAAAAAATTAACAATTTTAGTTTATACTTTCAAAGATATAAATATGTATCAATGCACCGTAAAGTTACATAAAGTTGTTTGTCGCTTAAAACTAAATGAATAAATTAAATCTAGACTTCCTCATATTTGTCACTTAATTATATTATGCCTTCACATTTAAAATATTACAATTACATCCACTGAGAATTTAAATATGACTAAAAATATTCTCCTAATCGGACATTTAAATAATTATGTTCAAGTAATGTATTGTATTGGATATAAAGAATATTATATAAATACATGCATTATAATTAGTATTCTAATGTCAAATTTGATTTTAAACTTTAGAGTATAACGAACCACAAAATAAAGGATAACATGAAAATTATAATTTTTTATTATGATAAAATCATATTTTTAAGAGTTATATTAACATATTTCAACAACAAGGAATTGTATGTTACACGTGCACAAATGTTAGAATGTGTAAGAGTACTATTTTAAATGTGAGGGGTCTAAATGATTAAAGGTGTGTTTGTTTGGACAGATATAGGTAGATAGAACATGTTAGATTGGATAAAAATATCTGAGAGCTCATATATCCCATCTTTGGGTTATGCAAATGGGATTGAATTTTTATTGGGTTAAATTACTCGGCCCGTAGTCAATTAGCCCTAAATCCCATCTGATCCGGATAAAATGAAACCCAACTGGATTTTAGAATTTCTAAGGCCAGTGGATGAATAAAGCATGAAATTACGTTATTACCTCTTAAACAATACAACACAAAGTAGGATTTTTACCTATTTTCCCTTCCTTTCCACCTACCTGCTGGTCCCCCACTTTGACAACGGCGCCCGTGTCTCCTTCAGAAGGTATGTATCTCTCTCTCTCTCCTGTCTCCCTCGTCTCTCTCTTTCTTGCCTCTGTAATTTTTTTATGCATTAGTTACATAGTTTAAGGTGGTATTTTGGCTAGAAGCAGTAGTTACTTCCAACAAGAAAAATTGAACGATGATGGTATTTTTTTTCGTTTGAAAGGGCCAGTTCTATCTTCATTGCTCTATCTCTCTCTCTTCTTCTCTTCCTCCACGGCTAACGTCTGAAACCTTGCTGGGTGCTAAAAAGGCACATGGCTACAGTGAGTTCCATTGTTTGCTTTTTGTGCTGATTCCTCACCTTTTTTTTTTTGGAGACTCTCAACTTTTTATTTCAAGTGATCAATTATTTAAACATTAGAGCAAAATATCAGGCAAAAATCTCTCTAATTTACACCTCAGATACCCACTAAGCTTAAGCTAACTGGTAATTTATCATTAAACAAAATTCATTTGAAGAGTTATAGTTGAGAGACATAAAAAAAAATAAAAAAAGAGCCATAATTATCTACACTGTGGTGGTCTTGCAGCGTCAAAAGAAGTCGTCTTCATCCCTTTGAATTTGTTCTTGATCATTCTACTCCTCCTAGCTTCAGGAGCTTTGGGTCTGGTATCTGCAAGAACTCTGTTAATATCCAACGGTTGAGAAGATCTCATGTTGGAACATGGTGGTTGAGTTTTGGGGGCTATTTGGATGGTTTGCGCTTAATTGAACAATATGGTGTAGTTCATTGTAAATTTGTGAAAGAGGCAGATTCCATGGTGCATGTAAGAATACTGCCAGTTGCTAGACTTAAAAAATGTGCTCATTTTTTTATGATAAAAGGATAACACAGGTTTACTGTATGTATGTATGTATGTTGTATATATTTTTTCTTTTAACACAAGTTATTTTTCTTTTTTTCATGTTTTGAAGGAGCTTTGCTTATGATTTTAGAATTGTACTGGCTTTTTGTATTTTTTTTGGTGATCGGAAATAATTTTTTCTTCTTTTAATTTTTATAAAAAAAATAGTTAATTACTACTATGGTTCATGTGAATTTGGGTTGTGACGTAGTTTTTCTTATGTTCAGGCATTTTATTGTCCTAAATTTTTTAATATTTTTGGCGGATGAAATAAATTTGTAAGGATATTATAAAATCAATGTGTAATAACATACATTTGGTGAATACATAAGCGTTTTTATATTTTTTATAATATTAAATTAGTAACCAACAATGATCAAAAAGTAAAAAAAAAAAAAAAAAAGTGGTAACCAACAATTATCAAGCCAAAAATGAGATAGGAGTGGATAGGATTCAAGAATGAAATGATCAATTAATGTCAAATGTATTAGATGTTTAATAAAAGATTATAGTTTGTCCATATTTCAACCATATCATAATGCACTATCCAAACCTGAGATTAGATAACACAATTTTCTTTTATTCCCTACAAATCCGACCTATTGAAATTTCACTGGACTAATTTGAAATTTAAATATAAATCAGTCCAGTCCATTCATGAATTGACAAACTCATCCTAAATAACAAATTTGAGAAGGTCTACGCATAACTTATTCAACTAGTTTGATGACTTTTAATTTTAAGTGCATATTGGTAAAAATTTATATCTTTTAACGGTATAAATTGAGATTTAAGAAATTGTTCCAATGTAATTTGTGATTAATCCTAAAATTTAAAATAATTAAAGTAGAACTGAATCGAATAAAGGATAGTCGAGATAAGGAAAGGAGGGGACATGCGGAGACAGAGAGAGAGAGAGAGAGAGAGAAAGGGAATAGAGAGGAGACTCCAAAGCAAACAAACGAGTCGTGGGTTAGTCCTGGAATTGTAATATCGGTATCATCACGAGGAGGAGGAGGAGGAGGAGGATTTTCATCTCATCGACATCAGTACAACTTTTGGAGGGGAAGAGATGACTGGAGGAGGAGGAGGAGGAGGAGAAAGTGGATGGGGCAGCTGCTTTGCATATACGATCGGCGCCGTAGCAGTGATATTGATATGGCAATTGATCTCCAACACCGGGTTGAAATCTTCCTTCTTCTTCTTCTTCCTTCCTAATAATCATTTCAGATCACAAGAAGCTGCTACCCCTAACCCCTCTGCTCCTCCTCCTCCTCCTTCTTTTGGGAGCTTCAACAACTCCACCGTTCCCGCCTCCTCTGCCCTTTCCCCGCCTAGGTACGTATTTTATTCCTCTGCTACTTCTCTTACTTCCTATTACTATGTCATTTTTTTTGTAATCTTTTACTTGGACTTCAAATCTTTTTAGTTTATTGTTGTTGCCATTTTCCTTCCAAATAGTAATCTATTGTTATGATCAATACTATTGTTATTGTTATCCCTAGTAATACTACCATATTCTCCTTATAGATTCTTTCTAAATATGGAATATCAATGGTGCAAAATTTTTTTGACTGCCCAACCGACGTTTCTTCGCCACTCGACACATTGAAAGTCTCTTGTAAACACACATTAGAAGGGAATGCAACACCAAGTATTGACATCAATCTTGAACAAAAAGAAGAAAAAAGACACCCGGAGACTATTTCAATAATCCTCTTAACTTGAGACAATGATGCCTGCATGGAAATAGGCAATCCTTGATTGGCAATTGGCAACCATAACACCAAAGGCTGGCGTGGAGTTTTTCTTACCCTATAATACCTGGACAGGTGATGCTTGCTTGCCTTTGAAATTTCCTATGACCAGCCACAGTTATTTGGTCTTGTATTACTACAAAAGCCTTTCCTTTGACCCAAATAGGAGAATGCTTAGTGAAGATAGTCCAAATATTTCATGGTGGAGGACTCATTCCAATTATTAATGTTGTGATGAGAATAATATATCCCATCAACTTCTCAGCACAGACTCTCTCTCCCCCTTCCCCCCTCCTGTTTGGATGACCATAGGTTCTGCTGAACTGTTAGTAGGTTTAGCTGGCTCTAGTATTCGGGAGTATGGGTTTACTTATTAAACTGTGTCACACTTTTGTGTTGAGATATATTTATCCTATCTGAAAATTTGAAGGTAGACCTGTGGCTGTAAGCTAGTACTGGTTTTTTTTTTTCCTGAACTTAGCTGGTACTGGTTTAACTGGGTGCAGAATGACTACTTGATCCTTTCCGTAGTCAACTACTGTTACCTTATAAGATTTTTAATTTCTGTTTTACAGATGTTTACTGATGTTGATATCTGTTTGTTCCTGCAGGGTTTCTGGTTTTATATCTGATTCGGATTTGAAGAGTGTCATTGACAATTTGGATGAAAAGCTCCAAGAGCATGAGAGATGGGACAGTGTCATAGACAGAAGAAACAATCTTCTTTGCTACAAGGCAAAGTGCTGCAAACCAAAGGTTGCTGTTCTTTTTCATGAATCCATGTGATTACAGAGATGTCCAATAAAATTAATTTGATCAGAAGCTATCCCGACCATTACAATTCTCTGCATTTCAACATGTTCATGTTCTCCTCAATCCTTGTTTTGAGTATTATACTTTTTTTTTCGATTGAGACATCTCAAAGAATTAGGGTACAAAGTATTTTAGCTAGAAATGAATGTACACAATATTATTATACCGTAACGTGTTCATTTGAAATCTCTTATTAAGTGCATGTGTGTGTCCTTTTTTTTTTTGGGGGGGGGGGGGGAGTTTTCTACTTTACTGGTATGAAGGCATTTGTTTGCTTTCTTGCAGGTTTTTTCTTTAATACTTCCCCCAGAGCTCACTATGTAGTTTATATCATAGACTCTATCATCCCAATTTCTGTTCACGCACTGGTATTTGTTTCTCTGCTTCATTTTATAAATTCAGCAAATCTAGGTTAAAAGTGTCTTCCATTTGCAGGATGGTCCTCTGAAATATTTGAGTGTGACAATATTCGAGAACTGCTCTGCTGAGGTGCTGAGAGATTTCTATATGGACAATGATTATAGGAAGCAGTGGGACAAGACCCTGATTAAGCATGAGCAGTTTCAGGTGGACGAAAGTAATGGAACTGAAATTGGTCGCACAATTAAAAAATTCCCGCTCTTGACACCAAGAGAGTACATATTAGCTTGGAGAGTGTGGGAAGGAAAAGATAAAATCTTCTACTGTTGCAGTAAGGTATCTGTTATAGAAATTCAGAACTGACTTTGCAACTACTATAGGTATCACTGAGCTTTATGTAGTTTTAAAATGCACGTAATACCTTAATATTCATAGCTTTTATCCTTATGTATGCATTTACAGTTGCTTATCTCCCTGGACGTATATATTTATGTTATGATTTACATCTCTAAACACATTAGCATAAATATGCATGATCAATGTTCTCTGTCCTGTGATAGAAAAAGCCGTATAAAAGAAAGGAGTTAAAGAGAACAGGTCCCAGCCAACATCCCTGAGTTTCATATTGGAATAAAACCTTGTTAATGGAATCGCTCTCCCTCTACTCCTAATTTACCTGCTCACCACCTCCACCTGTATATTTTGTGTTTGTGTCAACATTTCATTCAGGGGTGGAGCCACATTGATGGCAGTGGGGGCACTTGCCCCCCTCAACTTTCAAGAATTGTTGAATACTTGTTCTTCAAATAACATGATTATTCTCAATTGAATTCATTGCCCCCCTTGACTTTTATATATTTATACAGTGACCTCAGTCCTGTTTTCTATTTTGTCACTTTGTGGCTCACTATTGGCCCCTAATTCAATTTAAAAAATGTTTTAGTTTTTGATTGCTTGGAACAAATATTAAATTCCCTAACTTGTATATATTGACCAACGATAATATATCTTTTTTATTTAATACATTGCTCCTTTTTTGTTCAAAAAAGTTATAAAGTTGCCCTCGACTTTTTTTGGTAAGTTAGTGCCTCATTCATAACTCAGTAAAACACGATTAGATGCAATAGTAAAATTTCCTAACCTAAAGTTGTGTTTTTCGTTTTTCAGAGATTTGAAAAAACATTGTGTTCCGCTTTGATTTATTAATGAAATGGTTTTATGATCCATATAATAATTAATCATGAATCTTAACAATTTACTTGTTTATATTAGCTATTATTTCCTTATTTATTTTTGCCCCGTCTAAACTAGAATTTTGGATCTGCCCCTGATTTCATACAATTCCCGCACCAAATCGATCGGAAACATCCACAATGCAGTTCAAGTAGTGAGTTTTCATGCAGCTAAAGTATTAGCCAGACATATCATTTGTTTGGTATAATGGCAGTCCAATCTCAAATAGCTTCAGAAGTTAAATCCTTTTCTGCATGTTTAGGTGCTTGAAAGCACTTAGTTCTTCCATCCATGGAAAGAACCTGTTTTCTGATGATGAGGCAGGATTTGAAGGCTTCATAGTTGAGAGAAATCTTTAAACAGTTTTTGCCCAAGCTATTTCCCCACTCATCCTGGTATACTGATCAGGATGCTGATTATATTGGATATGTGCCTGATGTGTTGTTAAAATTTTTTTGTCTACTCTTCTAAGTTTTCACCTCATTGTCCAAATTTGGTGTTTATAGGAAAACTAGATTTTTGAAATTAGTTTTGAATGGAAAAGAGATGAAAGAAATTGCATTGCTCGTGCTCTGGTCTCAATAAGTTGCAATCTATTTGAGTTGAAGCCCAATTAATGATTCTGCAAATTGTTTATCCTGATTTTGCATATTTAGTTACGTGCTTATTTACATCCAATGAAATGTCATTTGATGTGGCTGGATATGCAGTGTGCACTGAATGTATGGACATACTTTGTTGTAATGACACTTCATATATAGAATGTTTGGAAGAAGTCAATGATTCTTACATATGGTGCTTAGTGAACTATTTCAATTTTAGAAAGTTTGATTATGTTATTGGCTATTGCGTAATGAACATTCAGGTTGAGGTTAAAGATTTTAGTGTTGAGTTGAGTTAGCTTGAGATTAGATAGTTTTAGTTTTAGTAACAATGTATATAATATAATCACGGGCCAATCCAATATCGAAGCTAGGCAGTTTTGGATAGTATGATGTTTAAAGTTCTATGCATTTTCACTATATGATTTTTTTTATTTTTTATAACTAATTATTTATGTTAGACACAAAAGGGCCATTGGATAATGCTTGGAATGCCAAATCTGCTTATAAGCTTGTGATTCTCTTTATCCCTGTGCGAATTTATGTGTCTTGGGGGTTGACTGATTTTTACTATTCATTAATTTTTTCTGTGAACATTGCCAGGGGTGTGAACATCCTATGGCTCCGATACAGAAGAAGTATGTACGGGTTGGGTTCTTTAGATCTGGCTGGAGAATCAGGAAAGGCAAGTTCCTGACTCTTTTTTTTTTTTATTCTTCTCATTGTTTTGCAGGACCATCTTAAAGAAATCAGGTTCCCTTTTCCTTCAAAACTTGTTATTTGATTAATTTAACTGTTAGAACATGATGACAGTCCTTTTAATGAGCTGCAGGTGTTGATTTTTGATCTCCACCAAAAGAAAAAAAAAAAAATACCCACAAAACATAAGAAAGGTGCCCACAATTAGCTGACCCAAGTAGTTTGCTTAACCAATGGGCCTTTGATCTAATGATACTCCTTATCTTGTGAAGGTTTTAACTTTTTGAGGTCAAGGGTTTAAGCCCCCTCCCCCTCCCCCTCCCACTCCCAAAAAAACAAAGTAGTTTGCTCAAGCTTGGTTTGAAATTTGAACAAAGCTTGACCCTTTTATTTTGTGAGCTAATCTTAAACTTGTGTCAAGCTCCCTCCCTTGAGATTTGGTTAATAACAACTAGGCTCCCTCTTGTTTGAAAAATAACATTGATTGTTCCATTTTGCTAACGGCAACAAGAAAATGACTATGATATCCTCAATCCAAAATATTTTATACTTATTAACTTTTACTTAATTTTACAACATCCAAATAAAAACTGCAACATCATATCAATATATAACACATAACTCGAGGAAAAAAATTACTTAATTAATGGAAGTGATTCCTAAATGAAAACAAAATCTTATTTATTCCATTAATAAAATTAATTTTGTCCCAAAACCCAAACCAAATCTAATTAATTAATTTATTGAATAATATTTATATCTAAAATCAAATCAAATTAATTTTGTCCTTAAATTCATACCAAATTCGATTAATTGTTAATTAAATTAAATTAATCACAAACTCAAACCAAATCCAAGAACATAGCAACACCACCCAATCTACCATCACCACTGTGTTCAATCCACCACCAAAAATCACAAAAAGTACCCAAGCCACCTGCATATCGCCTCCACCACTCACCCATGGTCGAATCAATAGCAACGCCACTACAACACACCCACCACACACCACCCACCTCAAACCAAAAATACCACCCAATAAAACACAATCAAACTCTACCCACAACCTGCGAAAACCACCACAACTAGAAAATCCACCCACCAAGAAGAAACCCACCCCTCCATCGCCTTGCCTCTAGTTCTACGCCCGATCAGACACCCAAAGCCCATGCACTGACACACTCCACAATCGACCACCACGATGACCACCACAACAAGACGGGAAAAAAATGGAGAAGATGAATGCTTTAGAAGGTGGTGTGGTCATAGAAGGGCATCTCGTGAGAGAAAGTTTTAGCCACAGAAGGGCATCCCAAAGCCGACGTACCGACATACTCCACAATCTAGCCGAGTTTTGGTAAATTGTTGGATTGGTTGATTGGCCATAAGGTAGAGTTTATTTAGGTTTAAAACTATTCTTATCTGGTTCGATTACTTTTTTTTTTTAAGAAAGTAATTCAATATGTGAGGGTAACTTTGGGATTTTAAATTATAAATTGCTTACATCATCAAATCACTAATGATTTCTTGACGGAACAGTAACGATAGGGGCAACTTGTTATAGACAACAAAAGCAGAAGGGAGGTTAGTGTTATTTTTCGAACAAGAAAGGGGCTTGTTGTTATTTGATCAAACCTCAGAAGAGGTGGATGTAATTTACCCTTAAAAAATTGACGAGCTTAAAAATGTGTTCAAGTTTAGCACACAAACCGATTGCGAACAAGTCAATCTCGAACCGAGCTCAGGTAGCATGGTTCGCTTTGCAGCCCTAATTGGGATGGGTACCTATGTAACTATTGGATTATGGCACTAAGGTGAAAGTATGAGTGGGCTGTTGGAGGAAAAAGAAGGGCCAAATGATCAGCTTGAGTGCTGATGACAAGTTTATTCAAGCTGGCTTGAACAGTTCAAGAACAGGTTGAGTCTACTCATTTGTCATTTGTACCCTTAACCCAAGTATTTGGTTCCTTATTTATCAAAAAAAAAAAAAGTATTTGGTTCCTTAGCAATTGAGGTGCTTACCATCAATAAAACTGATATCAGCGTCTCACCCGAGGTGACAACGAACTGAGTTACTTGGTTGTATTGTATGACTTCTCTTTTTGCAGTACTTGGTAGAAATGCATGTGAGATCCAAATGGTACACCAAGAAGATGCTGGTTTGAATGTGGAAATTGCAAAGCTGGCCTTTGCAAAAGGCATATGGAGTTATGTATGTAAGATGGATCATGCCCTTCGCAAATACTCTGCTTTCTACCATCTTCGACCGATTATAGCTGTAAATGCCATCAGTCTGATTCAGAAGGTGAGGACTAGTTCCCTTTCATATTTAACTGCCCATTTTTTGTGTTGGGCCCTGGTGTCAAATCCATGTGTCGGTTAAACAATGAAGATATTGTACATACATTAGTTTCTTGCTCTCAAAAGATAAAAGATCACTCCCTCGGACCTTTTATGGTTTCTAATATCAACCTTCCATGTCCATATGTTCTGCTTAAGTAGTGTTCTATACAAACTGATTTATCAGCTAAACCAGGGTAGCCAATTTGCTGTCTGGCCAAAGAATTAGCTGTTTGGATTCTTGAGAACAATTGATTTTAGTACAGGGGAATACTAATGCAATGGTATGATGCTTGGTTCAAATGGTTCGAATTACTAATTTCCAGGCGATTCTAATAGTCTGTATGAAATGCTGATTCTGTTCACACAGTATCCTTATTTTGTCATGTAGGTTCCTCCTGAATTGGATACCATAAACATTTCTAGCGCAGATCATCCAGAAACCTCAACAGCAAGTGCTATTTGTTGCAAGGTTGCTTGTGAACGCAGCAGGAAGAAACTCCTGAGGCCTTCAAATAAATTGATCGCCAATGGACTGATTTTTCTAGGGGGTGTGATCTGCCTTTCTCGTGGTCAGTCTAACTTGGGTGCGAAGGTTGCCATGGCATACATATTGAGTAAGCTGACCAAGCGTGGAGCTTCATCAAGTCAAAGCCGGCAAGCTTTGGTGCCATAGAGATTCGGAAGGATTCGGGGTTGATTGGCCATGGCATGTCACGTGAACACATATGCACCACGTAATTGTAACAATCTGGGTGAATTCTGCTTCCCCATATATTTTGAAGAAGTTTTTTTTTTCTTTTTTCTTCTAATGAATATTTCACTTCTCTGTGCATCCCACTCTCCCTGGCAGAGGCAGAGGCAGAGGCAGAGGCAGAGGCAGAAAAAGTTATTTCAGTGGACACTTTAACAAGTTTTATTCTAGTTGTATAAAAAGGAGAATTGTATGAGATTTGTCATTTAATCATTTAAATTATTTGACATTTAAAATATCATACATAGATCTTCTAAAATTTGTGTGCACGTAATACTTAGATCTTTGCGGTAAATATATTCGTTAATAAATTATATTTAAACCTCTTAAAATTTGTAAGTATATAATACTTAAATTCTTTAAATTTAAAATATTATATTTAAATAAAAAATATTTCAATCAAAGATAAAATATCACATATTTTAAATTTTATAACTAAAATTTATGTCATATTGTATAATTTATTGAAATAAGATTAAAATTAAAATTTTAATTTTTCTTAAAAAATTGTAATTAGTATAAAATTATACTATTTATTGGAATAAAACAAAAAAAATCCAACAAGAGTTATAAGTCATTCATTGAATATAAATTTTACATTTAAAATTCATATTCTATTATGTCATTTATTAAATAAAATAAAATTTTAGTTTTTTTTTAAAAAAAAATCATAGTTAGTATATAATTATACTATCTATTAGAATAAAATAAAAAAATTAAATAAAAGATCAAATTGTAATAAACACTAACTTTTAGCTTTGATTGAGATAGTTTGGTATTTAAATTTAGTTATTTAAACAACCAAATTAAAATTATAATAGACAATATAATTATATACTGATTATGATTTTTTTTAAAAAAATTAAAATTAAAATTTTAATTTTATTTCAATAAATGACATAATAGAACATAATTTTTAATTATAAAATTTAAAATATTTGATATTTTATCTTTAATTGAAATATTTTTTTTTTAAATTTCAGAGAGTCTAAGTATTACGTGCATACAAGCTTTAGAGAGTCTGTATGTAATATTTCAAATGTCACAAAGTCGGAGTGAATAAGTGACAAACGTTAAAAAATTTGGGTGTAATTCTTCCCGTATAAAATAATAGCTGGCTGTGTGCATGTATAACACCTTTATTACTCATTTAGTTAAAGCAATGGAGTCTTCACAATCTTCTTAGCTGAAAATAATAATTGATAAAATTAATGTGAAATCCAGGTTACTTTTTTTTTTTCTTGTTTTAAAAAGTTTTGCGAGGTTTCAACATGCAATGCTAGAATTCTCATCAATACCATCAAAAAGGGTAACAGTAATTCAATGGGAATGGTAAAAGGACGGTGTCAAAATCAAAACCAAAAGGTCAAGGCCAAAATAAGGCTGGTATTAGAATTGTAGGCCTAACAACCATGCTAACAAGATGATGAAGCCTTAGGCACATATCAAAGCAACAGTTGGAGGTGCAAACGTAGTGGACCATGATTCTTTCAAGCACTCACTGAAGGACAACGAAGAGAGTTCAAAGCCTACAACTTTGGACCAATTGATTAAAACAGAGATGCGAGATACCCAATTATCGACCATGAAAAAAAAAATCCAAGCTCCTTTTTTTTTTTTTGCTAAATAAAAATTGAGATTAAAGGGAAAAACCTTTGTTTGTATCTGACAAAACCATCAACAACCAACAGGTACAATGCCTAGACCAACCATACTTAATTATCACTATGTCGTGAGGTATGCTCTTTTGAAATCAATTATCAAATCATCTGCTAGAGGTTGTAGCAACAAACGATCCCACTACATCAGGTCCCCACAAATTGTTTTGGAATAAACAAGATAGCACCTTGTTATACAAATAGTTAGCATAATAAAATCTCTATTTGAATACAACGGAATAAAACAAGTCACATGCGGATTGAAGTCTTATGTTTGTGTGGTTATCAATTTGTCTCTCCGGGTAACCATCTCCTGGTAAATTTGGAGTTCTCTAACCATAGGAAAAAAAAGAGAGGAAAAGAGAAGAAATAAAGAAGGTTGGTTGTCCGCTTTCTACGACTAAATTAGCGACCATTACTTTAAAAACTAGCATCCCTTTAATATTGCCTCAACTCAACCTTAAAAACAGTTAAAATTAGATCCTCCACATCAGCAGCAGATAAGAAAGTCATATGAAGAATCATCGCCACTTTCTTGGAACTAGCACATGACAGATTATAATGAACAAGTATCTGGAAAAACTATAGACTTCTATAAAAATTCTAAAAGCCAAAATCGATGAATCAAATACAGGTTAAGGTCCATCATCACCATCTTTAATCAAGTTACATATATCAGAGCACTCCACCAAACTGCACAAAGCACAATTTTGAGCAAAAAGTAGACAACATATTTAATTAATATTTTGCAAAAGTGATCTAGAATTCTTGATACATTTTCAGATATAAATAATACACGTATATGTATATAGGTGTAGTACAATACATTGGATTAAAGTTAGAGGATGGGAGTAAATAGGACTGTTAGTCGAATGAGCTTGAGTCAAGTTCGAGCCGAACTTGAAAAACTTGTTTCTTAATCGAGTTTTAAAAATTGTTCAAGTTCGGCTTGTTTACAAAACGAACCGAACCCGAATATTTGCACATAAACGAGCCAAGTTTGTCGAGTTTGAGCCAAACTTGTAGGGCTCGTTTTCTAAACGAGCCTAAAAACTTGTTCAAGTTCGGGCTCGTTTAGAAAACGAACTGAGCCTGAAGAGCCGAACTCAAGCCAAACTCGAGTAGCTCTATTCGATTAATAGCCCTAGGAGTAAACCCCGACAAGGAAAAAGTTAAAAAAAAAAAAAAACAAATGCAACTTAAAAAACAGAAGACAAAAAAATACTTAAAAAAGTGTTACCAAACTGTAGGGTACTACGGTTCGTTATGTTATTACTTATTACTACTGTTACAAAAACTGGATATGAACTTTCCAACTGAGATGTAAATCGTGAAGATGCCCTCTAAAAGACAAATATCAACAACAGTGTCATTCTTGAAAACCGAAAATCTAATGGCGAACCTTTTGCTTGGTTTAGATATGTAGAAGAGATAATAAGAAAATATGTACATCTCTAACGTGTTAGAATGAATAACTTGAGCGAAGAATTTAACTATTCATTAAGAGTTAGAATCAATCAAAGAATTATAGATGTTACAAGTGAAAGTTGAGTTTGAGATTGGCCTTACAGATTTAAGACCATATTGGAAGATTAGCTTGCACCAAATAATCCCAAGTAGACTGGTGACATGCGTATTCAGTGTCCTAATATACCTTTCTATTGGTTCTGAATGCCTAGTTCATCTCCTTATCATTATTTTTCTCCTCCTACTCCAATTTTGGACACTGTTAATTGCTAATATGCTTTCATAATAATCAACTTGTCAAAATAATTGAAATAGAAAGAAAGGAAACCTGAGGTGTTGGACTTCAGATACAAGACTATGTGGGAAAATGAACAAAGAATCACAGTGATGCTGATGATATAGTTGATGAAACATAATCAATGGTGATATATTTTAAGGAAAAAATTATACCAGTATTGACGACTCCGGAACCCTTGCTTGAAAACCACTAGAGGCCTGCAGATGAACAAAAGCAAATAATCAAATACTAGTGTAAACAAATATCATTCTCTCTCTCTCTCTCTCTCTCTCTGCACCTCTGCATGTGTGTGTAACTGTGTATGTGTGTGACAATATCCATTGAATGGAGATGATGCAGAATAGAATCCACATTTTCTTTGTGGTATGTCCCAAGGTTAAAGTTCAATTTGGAAAGTGAAGGTGCTTTTTCAAACAACATTCCTAACCAGATATTGCCAATCAACCTTGAAATTTGTATTAGTAATACATACCAAATGATATGCATCACATCATTCCTCGTATTATTCACTAATAAACACATTTGTCCTCCACAATTCAGCGTTTGAAAGATTTTGCCTCTATAATGTGCATCATCTTTCTTGATTACTTGCTTGCTAAAGACAAAAAGATCATATGTAATGATCATCATCTGAATCATCAAAATTATCTTTCAAATTATCATGAGAGGAACACCAATCTCTTCTTCAAATTGTGATTTGTTAGATTCTTGAGACTCTTGGGGCCATCTCTTTCCACCATTGCAACTTTTTAGGAGTAGGGCAGTGGAAAGAATGATGACTAATACCATGACAATCAAAGCTCTAGACTTGAAATTAGGAATAGAATTATTACTCCCTTGAGAAAAAAAGAAGCACCAAGACGAGATGGCTTACTGGAACATGACCTCGATTTGCGTTTACAAAAACATTTTCACTCTGAGTTGTATTTTACTCTTTTCTGATGAAGATCTCACAAAAGTCGTCTTGCTCAAGTCCTCTTCCATCTGACAGGCCACCTAGACTGCATCCTCCCTGGTATAATTCTATCTAGCAGCTAAACCACAAGATATTCATGGATTCAATCTTTGCCGACATAAAAATCATTTCATCTTCATTCCAAGCTTCAGCTAAGCTACAAAACTTTCTTTTGGATTCTTCAATAGCTAAGAAGCATGGATACGGACATGGGTGTCGTATCCGATATGATACCGACACGGCGATTCCTGGCCCCCTGCTTGTAACCCCAAATATGCTCAATAACAGCCATCATCTGCTGGCTGGCCTGGAAAAGGAAGAAATTTGGGGCAGGAAGGACCGAGTAAACAAAGTTGAAGGAAGTTGAGGCAAAAGGCGCACTTACCAGCATGTTATGGTGGACAATGGTTTTAAGCAATCTGTTATCCCCATAGCCCTCGTACACTGTCGTGTCCGCCCCAAACTAGATGGTCTCGGCGACGGGGAGCACGACGTCGGGGGACTGCAGAAGGGAGTCCAATTCCAACACGGGACGGCCCCTCCTGGTTGAGGCTCGGGGAGCCCACTCAGTAGAGGATCTCGGCGCTGAGGCCAAGGCAGAAGCAGGGGCAAGGGCCGGGGCATCATACCGGCGCTTATCCTAGCGTTCTTCAGACCCCTCAGGCTCTCGGCCCCAACAATGTCTCTGCCGATCATTTGAGGGAGGCACTTGGCGTCTGGGGGGCTGTTCCCTTGGTGGGATGTTGGGTCCCCAGACGATTGAGGACGCAGTGGCGGCGGAGGTGGTTGCCAGCGTGGAGAGGTCGGGGGAGGAACTATCATGGCTGTCCCTAAAGACCTGGCGGCCCCAGAAACCCTCGCCCTCCTGGCCGCCGTGGCTGCCTCCATGGTTGCAACAGTGATTGGGGGGAGATTGAACATATCTTCAAGTGAGGGGGTGTGCTTAGATTGTCGGTTCGGGTTGGCTTCAAGGTCCCCTTCTCCTCCCTCTTCCTCCTGTTCAAACGAATGATCCTCCAACACCGAAGGGTCGAAAGGTGGAGGGATTTGAGAGAAACGGGAGTAAGTCGATACGTAGCAGAGGAGTGCCTGTGCGGCTCGGTCAACCGAATCGTGGGACCAAACTTTCAGCAAGTCTGCAAATCTGACTTGGGACCTAAGTGGTTGAGCAGCGTCTCGCCGATAACCCTCTGCCAAGATAAAACAAAGGTTAGTAATGATGAGGAAAGGGTACATAACAAATCCCAAAATATATGCAACACACACCATCTCTCGGCACCTTAGGGCAGTACAATCCATCATACTCGGGCCCATCTCCTTTCTCCCAACTCTCGCCGAGCATGATTAGATCATCCACATACCCTTTGTCCGAGTCCGGCATGTGGGACACCAAGTATATTGAGGTGTCTTGGGCCTGGAGGTAGTACCTGCCCCCTGCTAGTAATCTTTAATCATAGCAAAACAAGATCTCATCTACCCTTAGGTTAACCCCGAGCCGAGCATTGAGGGCAACCACATCCATCACTATCCTAAAGAAGTTGACACCAAATTAGAGGGGGAACAACCTCAATTGCATTAGCATTCTAAGAACCAGGGGGTGAAGGAGAAAAGTTAGCCCCCCTTCCATGATGGCCTTTTTCCAGAAAGGCATCATCTCTACACATTCTACATCCTTTCTATGATAAAGGGGGTTAAAGAGAAAAGTAAAGACACGCTCGGGGATTTGATATCTAGCTCAAGGATCAAAATGTCGTGTCGACACGTCCGAAACGTCCGAAACGTTTCGGAATTTCAACACTCCGAAACGAAACAGTAGTTGAATCACAAAATTCCAGTGTTTCGGTCGAAACGGTACTGTTTCGGACCGTTTCGGTCGAAACGGCATTGTTTCGAACCGTTTCGACAAAACAGTGATATATTCGGTTCATTATGAATAATTACATTTAATACCTCATTATAATTATATTTAATACCCACTGTAATTACATTTAATACTCACTATAATTATATTTAATATCCCACTATAATTACATTTAATTCCCACTGCTCTTCTGTCTTTTATAATTTTTTTGTTATAAGAATAAATAATTACACTTAATACCCTACTATAATTATATTTAATACCCATTATAATTATATTTAATACATACTATAATTATATTTAATACCTCACTGTTGTGCAAGTTTTTTGTTTTTTTTTTTGTTATAAGTATTAACAATTACATTTAATACCCTAATGTAATTATATTTAATACCTACTGTAATTACATTTAATACCCACTGCAATTACATTTAATTTTTAAATATACATAAGTATCATTAATTTAATTTGATACCCTTCATTATTAGTATTATAATAAAATAGTATTATTAATTGGATTATATTACCGTAATAATATGATTTGGAGTAACTATTGTCATCATATTTATGTCACATATGGAGTTTCTCTAAGTAGCTACCCAGAGCCTACACCGATGTATGAGCCTGCTCGACACTCCACAGGGGAATGGATGTAACCATGTAAGTATGTACTCATTAGCATTTCATGTGTATTATAAGACCTTAATATTATGTAAAAATGTGTTTATTTCATAAAAATTAAGTGTTTGAAACTAATTTAAGTGACTTTCGCCTCAAGTCAAGCCTTTTTTTCCTCAAATTTAAATTTATTGTTGTATAAGTTGATGTTAACCTAATAAATATGTTGAATTAATAAATTATTTAGCATATCTTTATAAATTAATGGATTGCATTTGTGTTTCTATGCGTTTCCATATTTTTTCTGCGTTTCCATTGCGTTTCCGAAATGTTTCCGAAACGTTTCTATTTTTGAGTTGACCGAAACGGTACTTCGAAACGAAATTTTGATCCTTGATCTAGCTCTAAAGGCATCTATGTTTTCTTGATTGACCTCAGTTCTCCTTGGTCTGCGGTTGGCCCTAGCCTTGGTAGGTGCTTTCTCGACTGTTCTACGGGTTCTAGCCATTGGTGGATTCAAGAAAAGAGGTGTAGGAATGTAGAAGAAAAGAAAAAGACTCAAACAAGAGGGAGGTACTTACAGGTGATGGATCTTCAAAAAAAAGGTGCTCGGGAGAGGAGGAAAGAGTGCTCGGGAGTTGATTGCTGGAGAAGAGTTCAGAGTGCAAAAGTTCTGAAAAGGCTTAAGCATCTCCTATTTATACCCTGTGGGCAGGAGCGGGAATCGAGAAGATAAGTCATCATTAGGGGATTTGAAAAAGACGACACCAGACGTGCAAATAACCGTCCCAAATTAATGAGGCGCGTTCGGTAAGCCTCCAGTCTCCTTGCCTCACCTATCCCACGTCGCAAAAAGAACGGAGGCTGGGGGGTAGTTGAAGGACTCTAGGCGACTCAGCAGTCCCCAATGTGACACGTGTAAATTGAAGCCGTTATGGAGCTCAAAAGACGCCGAGGGCTCGAGTCGAGAAACCATGGCTCGGGGGAGCCGAGTGCACAAGCTGACACTCACATTAAATTCGACTTGACCAATCATTTATGACGGTGCGAGTGATGGAGATAGTGGCATTAATGAGCCTCTACGTCCTCAGAATCTAGGCCTGCAGTCATGATGGCTAAATATTAATGACTATTACGCTGAGTATATGTCCCCGGAGGCCCTCGAGGCACTGTTCCCCCGAGCATTGAACACACCAGTATGTGTTAGACGCCGATCGTAGACACTTGAGTGCTCGGAGATAGCCATAAGTGCTCGGCTCATCCCCGAGCGCTTGTCCTATCACCCTTACATTAAATGAGTGAAGATCGTGGGGGAGAACATCCAGATCTTTCTGGGTAAAGGTACTAGGCATTAAATATTCAAATGAGACTTGAAGTCTTTGCAAACATTGTTATTCTATGTATAAATACTTCACAGAAAAATGAACAAAGGTACGCAACATTGAACCAAAAATACTTGATTCATTGAGTTTAAGCCTTCGATCTTATACTGACTTAAACTTCAGAGAGGACAAGCCGGGTGTTCATCTGGCCCTCTTTTTCTGACCCTGTGGCTGTTGCAGATCCACCAGGCTGACGGTCGCTATCTCAAACTATTGCAGGAATTCTCCCGTGCAATAACCAAGCCATCTTGGGGTTGTAAGAGTTTGACATGATTACTATGCTTTCTACTATCACATTTTTGGGAACTTTAGACATAAGACAATAGCAGGAAATATGAGAAACGGATTCCAGTCATGTTAAAGCCTTGCTATTCCTACAAGGGGGTTAACACAAACATGACAGCAAAGTTGCCACACCTACTATTCAATATGAGACGATGTGAAGAATACAGAAATCTATGCCCAATTGTTGCTATTTTTTTCCCTTCTTGTTAGCTAAAGTAGAACTGCAAATAGTTACACCTGCCATATGGCTGGGCATCGAAGTAAAATAAAACACTTTGAATTGGAGGTTGAACCCCTCAAAGTGATTATGTTTCCCTCTAATCCTCTTAATGAAGGATGGTTTCATTACTCAATAACTGATGGACTTCTCGGGTTCTATCACAATGCAATCATAGGATAAAAACAATATACTGATATCTGTGGATAGCAAACAGTGCAAATATGAGAATAATAAGAAATTCATGATATGGATTCAATTGATCTCATCTAGATGTTCTATACGGTCACAATTAGGAATTTGCCCACTCCAATCAAAACAGAGAGCATGATGCCCGTCTCGGGTACCCCCTTTATGGAATCAAATATGCGTATCTTAAAAAATTGGATAAATAGAAAACGATGGCATTGTGACGATGTAATAAAGTAGTCTCATACAGAGGAAAATGATGATCAAAGGAAGGGAGTAAAGTCAAAATAAAGGCATGGCACACTGGAGTTGGGGACCGAATAATCATAGTCTTGTACTTGCCCAAAATTTAATAGTAATAATACCTTCGAACGTTGAGAGGGCCTTCGCCGGGAGAGCCAAGGCCGCCTCGGATGCAAGTGGTGACGCACTTGATGGTGCATGACTCAGCTTGCCTCGACTTAGGTCGCTGGATCCTCCTAGCCTTCTTGCAGTCCTGCTGGCCAGAGACGCATTCGCTCGACAGCATCTGTGGTATGTTGGACAGAGTTCCTCCTGCTTCTTCTTGTTCTTGGGTTCGTTGGAGCTCCGCTGCATTTGCCCCCACCACCACCGATAATACCATTGTTGCTGTTGCTGCTGCTGCTAGTGTTATCAAGCCAGTTGTTACGGGACGCCTGCTCAACCTTGTGGCAGAGCACGTGACCTTTTTTCCGATGGCGTTGTGATTCACTTCGCCGTTGATACCTGTCACTACTTGCCCTTTTCGGGATTGGGGGCATCCAATTGTGCATCTCTTGTTATGTATTAGTATTATTGACGTTGCGCTATAAACCATCATTTTCTCCCGAAATTATCCCTTCGTCAGTCGGTTAGTAACCATCAGCTTCTTTCCTTCATTTCCAACCCAAATAAAAAAAAGCCCAGACGGTACCCACGAAGGCTGCTTTTTCTCACTCCTGTCTCTATTATGAAGCACACTATTAGCCTCACGTTCTCTGTAAGGTTTTCGATTACTTCCTATCTGGCTATCTCCAACTTCAGTTTCAGCCCCCACGTTTTTCCAGCAATGCTATAAAATTAGGGTAAATTATAAAATACTCCCTTGAACTTTAGGTCTTGTTTCAATCAATTCTGTCTGGTTTTAATTTAAACAATTTGCCCCTTTTAAGTTTTTACTAAAAACAATTACCCCATTGCTGTTAAATTTGACAGCCAAAAATTTGATAGAAATAATTTTAATTCATTTGATGACAAAACTGCCCTCCTATTCCATGCCCTCATAAAAAACACCAAAAAAAATCTCACCTAGCCCCCCTTACAACCCCTTCACCTAAGAAAAAATGAAGCATCTCCTTAACTACTTTTGGGATAGTGGTGTGGTTGTTTATGATGACAGATACGATGCCGATTAAAATTTTGGAGTGATTTTGGTGTTTGGTATCAATTTTTGGATAAATCTCATTTGAATATTATTTGATTGTGTTTTGTATAGACTGAAGAGTCTTTTTATTTTTTGAATTTGCTTGTTTGATGGGGGTGGGGGACTGCTGAAGTTGGAGGTATTAGAGTTTGGTACGTGGTTTTTTTGGGGGGCGGGGGGTTAGTTGGAGCTGGGTATGGGGACAAGGGGTCTGTTGGGGGTTGGTCGAATTTGGGCATTGGGGTGGGGCGTTTGCCGGAGCTGGTAATGGGGCTTGAGAGGTCCGTCGAATTTGGGGTTGGGGGTTCACCAGAGCTGTGCATAGGGCTGGGGAGCTACGTCGGAGCTGGGCATAGGGGTGAGGGGTTCGTTGGAGTTAGTCATGGGGCTTGAGAGGCCTGTCGAATTTGGGCACGAGATTTTGTACAAAGAGAAAAAAGAAAATATAATTAAAGATTGAGGATATTTTAGAACTTTTTTATTTTTCATCCACCAAGTCAATTAATTTAGTTTTACAAAAACTTGAAAGGGACAAATTGTTTCAATTGAAACTAACAGGACCTGATTGAAACAAGACCTAAAATTTAAGGGGATATTTTATAATTAACCCATAAAAATGACAGCTAAAAAATTAACTGGTTTATAGAAAGGAAGAACCATAATTAATATTTGAAGAATTGGAGATGGACAAATCTCAATATAATTTTTATTAAATTAAATTAAAATGACAAGCTTCATGAGTCTTTGATCAAATTTGTTATTATAATTTTTATAGAGGTAATTATAGCTCTAACCATATATATTTGTTGAGTTGTGACAGTAAATTTATCTACGGCATTACACAGATCAACCGCACTATTGATTGGAATAGTATAATGTGTTAAAAACCCATCAAACCCTCCTCATATCTTACTAGACGACTCTTCCCCCATTAAAGCGAGAGAGGGTGAATAGACAACTTGCGAGAAACATAGAGGGGGCGATTTGTGCACCAACTTGCACCTTGACAATAAGGTCATTTTTATGGGGTGGAAAATTATTCAGACCCCTCACAATAATCCTATATTATCTCTGACCTAAGCACATTTGAAATTCACTGAAGAACGCTTGCCGTTTACACTGAAACAAAACCATACTAGTACACCTATCTATACACTAGTTTGCTGAAAGAACAGCACCCACTGTTAAGATAATCCATCATGGAAGTCATTTTGAACAAACAGGCAGCCAAAATATGTTCTAATGTACAACACATACACTTTAGGAAGAACAAAAATCACAGATTGGGGTAGATACAGAGAGAGAAGTGATCAAGTGTTCTTCTCTAGAACGGAGAGTGCTGGTGTCAGATAGTTATTCGCTTTGTCAGGTAAATGTGCTACCTGCACGGAGAAGACGAAGATAGATATGCAATTTGAACTCAACACCTTACAAGCTAAAAGCAGATTCTCAACCAAATATTAACGGCAATAAGCCAAAAAAAATAAAATCTGTAAAACAAGCAAAATAAAAAGATAGAAAAGAAGAGTAGTTTGCATCTCAACATACAAAAACTCCAGTAAATGCAGCTTACCAGTTCGTACAGCTCCTTCCCTGGCTCAGCCACACATTCATAACAAACCTGATCATAAACAAATATAGCTTAGCAACATCCAGTAAATTTTGCCTTTCAGAGCAAACAAAAAAAAGTGTGACCCACGTCAAAGCTCTTGTTCCTTGCAGTTGAATCATGCAATGCCTTCACACAGATATCTGCCACATCGGCACAGCTGATCCCCTAAATTTGTGATGGATGGTGAGCATGGATAGTCGGTCCAAGAGTGCAATACTGGTAGTTGGGACGATTGTATTAATCTCACCTGAGATATCCTGTTTCCCTGATCAAATATGAGAGCACGTTGTCCACCAGGTTCTTCCTGAAAGAACCAATCTCTTGGTTATGCTTTATGTCTTTTCCGTGGAAATCATCACAAGAGTGACCGTTAATCTAGATACCCCATCAATACCTAAATTTATATACACAGACAAGTATTCGTAACTCCAAAAAGACACTGCAGCATGGCATGAGATCATTTATTTCGTCAACTTTTTTTTTTTTTTTCATACAATGTGGAATAAAGAGGGAAGAAACCACCACACCAATCAATGAGGTAAACTGACTCAAGGTGCAAAATTGGCTTTATATTAGAACAGGACCCTAACACTCCATCAAATGTCATGACTTGGCAAAAGAAGAGCACCGTCAGATATTGACTGAGCAGATTTAGGCAGCAACCAATTTTTCGTTGAACTCAAGAATTGTAACATCAAACGCACAATAAAAAAATTGATAATACAATCACTAATTGAGTTGCTTCTGAATACAACCATACAGCACAATAAGATTGAGCAATAATTTTACCATTAGGGGACCAGGGCGAATTATTGTGTACCCAAGACCTGATCTCCTCAATGAATCTTCTCCAGCCTACAGGAATCTCAACGTCAAAGTCAGTCATAACGCAAAAATACTAAACAAAGGAGAAAGCTGAAGAAAGAACCAACCTTCTTGGCTTTCAGAACCTGCTCCCTTCTGTTAAGTTCTATCCCTGATCCTGTACATGAAACTAAGATGAAGTCTGTTTCCTGCCCAGTCTGCAGACAATTGATTATCAAAAAATTTGTAAGAAATGGGATCAAGTAGCAGTGAGTAATTTGTTTAGGAATAGGCACACAAATCCATGTTTTTCGTTATAGGTCATGATCCAAAAGGGTAATACATAGAAAGCACACATTTCCTTCTTTGTTTCCTTTATTTGCTTGGTCTAAACATTACATCCCAAGTCCTCAAGACAGGTTTCAAAAGCATGTCACAAGTGACTTTTGTACAACATGGCCAAAATAATCTCGGGACAATACAATAACATCATTTTGGGTAAAACAAAATAATGGTCCCTCAAGTAATCAATTTGTTTCGATTGAAAAAAGTGATCTAAATTGAATAAAACAAATGGTCACACGCGGTCTCACTTTACCACACTTGAGGGCATTGTTATAAATACCACCATTTTAATGATGATGGTAACAGTGTAACGGGCATTACCTAATGGAAACATAAACCGGGCATGTGAATTTTATTTGGCATTCACACTTGTCCCTAAAATGTTAATAATGTATGTTTTAAAATACTAATCAAATAAACACAATTTTTGTGACTTATAATAAATTTTTTTGGTATTATACATTATGTTTTTGTCGTGTTAAATTGATCAACTAGTACAATTTAAATTTCTTTATCAAAATTATTCAAGGAAGAATCAAAAAATTGTACAAGTTTGTTGAGTGTTTGAGACCCTAACGGCCATTTAAATTTATTTTTGAGATATGTAACAGTCAGATCACATGGGTCAACATATCTACTCATGTCTATGTGTCCCCATAATGCATTCCCTTAAATAATCTATAGGGTAATTAATCACTAAGAATTGCAATATAAAAATGAGAATTCCAGAGTAAAGATCTCTTAAACCCATATATGATCTAGTTCTACATCTTAGCCATGAACTAATAAATAGAGATTGAGTTTCACTTCGCGAGCTGAGAATGGCATCATTAGGCTGGGTTAGCTTTTTGGTAGCACAAAGTTTTAGCACCTAAAAACTACGGGAGAAAGTGGAGTTCACCCCATCATCAAAGTGCTTGGGTGTTGAATCTTGTCATTCTCATGGTCAACAAAGCAAACACTTATCATTCTTCTCTTCACCCAACAGGTTGACAATGCAACAAAAATAACTTGACTGAACAGATGTAGAATAGCTTGTTCTACCTGATTTCACTATGTTCAATAACCTGGCACCCACAGACATGATTTACATTTGACTCCTTTTTCAAACCTTCTGTGTTGGACACAATCATCTACTCCAAAAAACTAAAAGAGCTTAACAAAGATAATGCTCATGTACCATAATGACCGTTTCAGTTTTGAAGAAACTTCTTAATAGTTAATTGGGGTGTAACAGATTTGGCGGCCACTGATACTGTTGTTACGCTTTGTAACGATCGATTTTTAAAACTATTTGTAAGGGAATTATCTGAAAACTTTAAGAACTAAAGTAAAAATTTTAAAAACTGAAGAGCAAAATGACAAAAATTGGAAACTTAAGGGATCAAAGTGGCCCCTCAAGTGTGGCCACGTGAGTAGTATGTTCCCAATTTTGTTAGTCAATTTAAACTTCTCTTTTCAATTGGACCTAAGTGACACAAATCGAAAACTTGAGCTACTTGAGTGGTAAAATAGAAAGAACGAGGAATTGCTACAAGGTGCTTACCAGAGGATCATTACTCTATTCTTATCTATTTTTTATTCCTTTTCAATGGCTCATTTCACAAAGTTGGCTTGGAGACATTTAAAATATATATTTCGTCATAGAAAAACCCTATTATAGCCCACCCATAACAAAAAAAATTGACTTGTTTTGGACTAGACTGAATCTCATCAATTTCTTAATTCATTGAATCTTAAACATGATCAACTATATTATGGAGTTTGTGACGCAAGGACATGGATACGGACACAGACACGGACACGAACATAGTTTTTTATTATTTTTAAATCAAAAACCTTTAATAAACGTTGGGGATAGGTGGCTATCACACTTAGGACACGCGACCAAAATACCGGGGATATGTTTAGACCTATTTTTTCTCAAATTTTTTAAAACTTTTCAAGTAACGTCATAAATAAAATTATTTTTGTAATTTTAAACAGGTATGGATCAAAACTATAATATAAAAAACAAAATTTATAATCACTAGATGAACACGGGATATAGACATAATTTTTGATACAAACAAAAAATTATATACAAAGAGAATAAATTTTTTATATGAAAGTAATTGGGTAAATTTCACCCACCCCTTGAAATTACAAGAAAAGCATGATGACCCACTGACCTTTAAAATATACAACATAAATGCCCTTTACCTATAACGGACGCTAGAGACCCTAAAAGAAAATGATGATCTTAGCTAAATAATGTACTATAATTCCAAAATTATCCTCACCTACCCGTACCTATTTCAAAATCAAACCCAAGATCCATGACCTAGATCAAAATCCGACCTTTTGCAATTAACCTTGTAATTAACCCAACAATACACTACCAGCGCCATTGCAAACACAATTCAAAGTATTGATTGAGATCAATATGAAACCGAGAAACGATATGGAAATATTCTGAGACTCCTTTGAATCGGTTTCAACTTGGGTCGACTCGGTAAAACTCGGTTAAATGGCCGATTTGTATCCAATTCGAATTGATTGATTCACACAACACCATCAAACCAAAGCACATGCAAAAGAAAAAAGAAAAAAGAGATAATAGAAGAGGACCAACACAGCAGATAACATGCCAAAAAATAGGACAAAAAGATGATATAATAGATCAGCCTTTCAGAAATCAAAACCCACATATAATTTCACATGCAATTTATAATTTTATGTAGATCCGAACCCTAGAAATAAAACCCTTTCCCCCCTATTCCCATTATGTAAACAGATGAGTATTTGCTAAATTATAGCAACACATACAACATACATGTAAAACATTGTAGTCCAGAGTTCATAGACAACCCCATCTTCCTCTTCTTCTTTCCAGCACAAACCCTAGGTCCTTAGCCCCACATCTCCATCTCTATCTCGTGTTATCAGACTAGCCCAGATCCAAAGTCTCTCTCTCTCTCTCTCTCTCTCGGTTGCGTCAGACTGTCAAGTGTCGACGAAATCTCTATCTGAGACTGAGACCTAGAATTTAAGTTTTTTTTTTTTTTTTTCAAGGACTTAATCTCCATTTCTTTCTTTCTTTCTTTCTCTCTCTCACTCATGGAGGTCTCTAAAACCAAGTCCATTGTCGATTTTAACTTTAAAGATTTGTTTTTGTTTTTGTTTTTGTTTTTCATTTTTTCTCAAGTCAAACCGAGACCAACTGTAGGTTTCACATTTTTTTTCCTTTTTTTTTATATTCCCAATTACCCCCCAATACCTTCTCTCTCACTCTCACGAAGGTCTCAAACTAAGACCCACCGTGTCGATTTTTTGGTCCAATTCTTCTAATTATATATTTTCTATTATTTATTATATAATTTAATTAGAACTTAACTATTAAAAAAAACTTTATGAAGTTTTCTTTTGTATGTGTAATGGAAGATTTAATTATTCGATGTCCATAATAGACAAAATACATATAATTTGTAGTTAGATATACACTAAATGATTAAATGTACAAAATATTTTTATAATTAGATAGTCATTTTTAAAGCTATAAATTGAATCATATATATACACTTGTATTTTTTTTTAACTTAAATTTATTGAAAGTTTAAAAATTTAGTGACATTTGCTTTTTTATTTTTTGTAAAATGGCTCCAAAACAACGTAACATTGGTTGAGAACATACAACACCTGTTGGCAATGACTGAAGAATTGTAAAGTGCAATTATTGTTCAAAAATAATACATAGAACACCTGGTGGTATAACAAAACTAAAACAATACATTGCAATTGTATCCGGACAAGTGGAAAGGTGGAAGGATGCCCAAGTGCACCCAAAAAAATGTTGCTACTTTTAAAATATCTTAATAAATGCGCTAAGTAAAGAGTTGTTGTGAAAAAGAGAAAAGAATGACTCATTCAATCTTTTACGTGATGAAGACCTCTACAACTAGAATGATGATGACAATGAGAATGACATTGAAGAGGATGAAGTTGATGAGGTTGAAAGAAGACAAATGAAGGAAAGTCGTCAAATGGTAAAGATGGAGAAACGGGGTCGTAAGCATTCTGTTTTAGATGCATGCAGTCATCCAACTAAGAGTTCATTTTTTGGAGCTAGCTCATCATAGCTGTCTAGCTCAAAGCGTCAAGTGTGGACCAACACACAACTATAGTGTAAAAGAAGGAGGAACCAAGTTACCCATAAGTGGTATTGACCCCTATATGTTCATTTGCAAACAAAAATCAATTAAGGGTATGTTCTCAACTGAGAACATGAAAAAAGTGGGAAAAGCCAATTCTGTCACCCATCCATGGGAAATCAAAAACATCCGACCACTTCTACTTCAAAATCAAAATCATTACATTCTCTCTCAAAACTACCACCACAACCACCTCTAGTTGTCCATCTACCACAAAACCAGAAATCGTTCACCAAATCAAACCACCCAAAGCCACAAATTAGCACCTTCATGCAATAGATGAGAGAGAGGGGATCCGATTCTATGCACCACCTTTAAGTAGCAAATTAAAGAAAGAGAGAGAGAGGATCCGGTTCTACGCACCACCTTCACGCAATAGATTTGGGATCTAATTCCTCCTTTGAGTAAAGTTGACGATCGATTGAAGATCAAGGACCTGGAGTTTTCAAATCTAGGGCTGGTGGTGAGATGAGTGTTTGATTCGTGCTCATTTATGGGTTTTGTAGGACGGTTGTGGTGGAAGCTAAACAATCGAAAAAGTTGTTATTGGTTTGGCTAGGGATGGGTAGAAGGGGTTGGGGCAGGGGTAATGGGGTGAGGCTAGTGTGGTGGGAGAGATCCGAATTTGGGGTGGTGGACATGGTGGTTTGGGTCGGGGTAACAAGGTGGGGATGATGTGGCAAGTGGAGGAAGGGGTGGGGGAAAGTGGTTGCGAGGAAGTCTCCGAAGAGGGAGAGAGATATGAAGGTCATGGGTAATTGGTTTAGTCATATTATTATTTATTTTATTTGACTTTTTTTTTGTATTTAAATTCTTCTTACTATTTTTAAAATGAATTAAGTACAAAAAAGTAATTGACACCGGATATTTTTTGATGCCAATAGGTGATCGCCATGCTAGTTTTATAATATAAGGAGATCTCCTTGTCAATTAGTCAAATATCACGGGTTGTGGGTGAAATTTACCCAAAGTAATTTGATGAAAATTGGTTTATAAAAGTAGAGCTCTTTAAAATCAAATGAACAGAAGAGTTAAAAAGTAGAATATTTTTGAAATTTTGAAATTGTAGTGTCATTCATTTTTGAATCATGAATGTTTATGGTGAATTTGTATCATATTGAATCAGAAAAGTCCAAAGTTGTACTAAGGTTCACCTTTGATTTGCTTTAACAAGATTCCATTGAAGTGAACACGAAGTTGGTGAAATCTAAGCGCAAGGATCAAAATTTTGTTTTGGGGCATTATTTCTGTCACCTAGGAAACGAAAACGTTTCGACGTATTTCGAAAATGTTTTGACCCGTTTAAAAAATAGAATGAAAAAAATAAAAAATTTAAGAATTATTTTTTCAAAATATTAGTTGAGATATACTAAAATATCTTGAAATACATTGAAACTTTCCGAAATAATTGTACAAATGTATTGAAATATAACAAAACATTTTGAAACATTATGGAACATGTCGAAGTATTAAAATTTCGATTCCATCACTGATTTATTTTGGTCTACTTCAAACGGAAACATTTCGGATATTTTGACCATTTTGAAATGATACTTTGATCCTTACCGGACTGTATATTTTACAATTTGATCATCTACATGTGAACAAATAAATACATAATATTTAGTGTGTCCTTCAACTTATCCATGTCCTACTTCTTTGAAAAGTTTTGTGTCGGAGTGTCTTGTTCGTGTCCATGTCTGTGTTTCGTAGGAAGCAAGCATATCTTAGATAGTCATGGACCCACTTAAACTAGAGTGTGAACAAAAAAAGGAGAAACTGTCATGAATAATAATACAACTAATGCCAAGAATTTGATTCTCATAGTCTCATGACAATCAATCTTACTTATTAGCGTCACTACAAGGCACAAGCTCTACAGCCCGGAGGTAGAATGCCAAACTGCATTTAACTCAACAGATGGGAAATATAGCTTTACGGTTTTACCCAACCCCAAACCCCTGGGTTGGTTCAGAACAGGAGGGTCTCATGTGCAGCACATGTAATTTGAGTATGATATGCCTATAACAAGTATGACATAAGTAGGAAACAGCAACCAGTGGTTTGTTCAAGAAACAAATTACCAGGAAAGCTACATTAACACTTACAGGCAATGCTTTTATATATTCCAATATTAATTTAAAGCTTCTCAAATCCTGCTTCGTTCCGGCAGGTCCTTCAACAGGTCTCTGCAGCAGAATAATGACACATATCAACGGAGTTAAAGGCATTTGGTGCTTTACTTGTTCTCTTTATTAAATCTGGAGGCTCGTGCCCAATTGCTGGATTGATTAAGGGGTATCCGAAAATTAAAGGAAATTTAATAAATAAATTGCAACAATAAAATTGAAGCACACACCAAGACAAAAGAAAAAGGAAAACTACCGCACCTTTTTTTTGCATCATTAATCTTTTTTTTTCTTTTCAATAAACCTCGACATAGCGAGGATATGTTTTATTACTAATATGTTTTTTTTGCATTCGCTAGGTTTCGGAAGTTCCTTTTAAGCCCAAGGTATACGAGTATATTTTTAATATGAGCCTTACTATAGTTAATACTTATGCCCCCTTGAATAATTTCTTCACATAAACTCTTAGTTCCACACAGAATGGCTAAGATTTTCGGTAAGCTTTAACATTAAATATCTTTTTTTTTTAAAAAGAAACAAACAATTTTATTTATTCACAATCAAAATTACAAGAAGCAAAAGAAAAGACCAATAAACTGTCTCTCCATATAACAGCAAAACAAAATCAATAAAAATAGAGTGTAACTTGCCCTCGTTGAGAGTTGAACTCAAGACCTCCCGCTAACTAAACGGGTGCTCAAAGCAACTGAGCTACAAGAGCACACTTTAACATTAAATATCAACTTTGGCCCCTGCACAGATAACTATTTGATCTGCCATCACCCTACGATAGTGACAGTTTTGATTCCACAACTACCAATCCTGTCCACTGGTACCCTCTTCAAGATCTCCACTCTAATCAGTCACACCCTCCCCGAACCTGTCTTTCTCCCTTCCTACCCAAGATCGCCTTTTCTCAATGCTGTCCTCATTGTCATCTACCCTAACCTTTTGGGGAAAAGCTTTTTCCAAATCTTTAGCAAATATTTATCATCAAGCCAGCCACTATTCTCTGCCCATATCTCAACCATCTAATTATATCAACAAAAAAAAAAACCATATAACTCTACCTTATTCCACATCTCCTTAGATTTTCTTCATTAAATTTTCACAAGATATCTTCATATCATTCACCAACTCTCATCTCTTCAATAAAATTTTTGTAGTTGTTGCCAAAAGACTGGGCATAGAAGAGATGAGCAAGGATCAAATTTTGTTCTTTTCTACTGAAACTTTACCGAAACATTCCCGTTTCCATGGATAACGTAATGAATCATTTATCAAATATGAAAATTTTTATGTTTTGAGATGCTTCTTTATGTTTGACCAATATATTGCAAAAAAACTTCTCAATTATTTTCTTTTTCTATTACTGTTTCGAGCTGACCAAAACTATGCCCTGAAACGAAATTTTGATCCTTATGAGTATATATATTCATACCATAAGAGGTATTGTAGTCAATGGTTATGCAAAGGACTAAGCGCCACACCTGGTAAAGCCTTCACTAAACATACATCGATCAACTTCACAACTCCTCCTGTTGGGATTAAAAATAAGAAGGGAAGGGATTTTTAATGCAGTGGAAGAAGAGGCTCAGGTAATTGATGCAGCACATGAGAAAAGGGTGAGTGAGTCAAAAGTGCTCCAGCTAATTAGTTAATTAGTAACTAATTAGCACCAGAAGGGAGGTGTGCGTGCAGCATGTCAAACTTGAAGCCTAGCAGATCAACAATGGGAAACCATCATACTTAGACTGATCAACAATGGGAAGCCATCATATAGGGGTAGTGTTGTAAAACTTAGACCTTGGTCAACGCGCATCTAGGCTCACCATCAGCGCTTCAGGAGGTCATAGGTGAAGCGCCTCCTTCGAAGTGCAAATAACATGTGACTGGGGCTTAAGCACAAGGTGCAAAAAGTGAGCACTTTTTTTCTTTCTTTTTTGTGATCTATTTTAGACCACAGATGGGTTGATTGGATGACTTCTATAATATGTGACCACTCTTTATTTTAGCTATTGATATAAAAATGGTTAACCCTAACCATTTTGTTTCTTCAACTTACTGCACTACCTCTCCTCTCTAGGTTCTGGGTCCTTCTTTTTCTAACCTGGTTGCTGCGACTGTGTCCATCTTTTGTTGTTGTTGTTGTTTATTTTTTTAGAATCTCTTTACTTCTCTGTTTTTTCTATCATATAGCAATATGGTTTAAATGGCATGAGATATGTCTCTTCTTCTCTATTCACTTTGTATTGTTTAGGACCCATCTACTTTTTTGTTTCTTCTATAAATTTTCTGTTAGTAATTTTGTCAAAGTGATGTAGCCTTTTGAACAAGTTGCTTTAATTTTCTCTAAATTAGATTCAATTTCAATTTTCTACTTCAACTAACTGTTTTAACTATTCTAATTAGCTGCTTAAATTGGATTTGAAAATCTGGAATTTGGGTGCTTTATAATTTTTAAAATGATTAAGTTATAACTTTTTTTTATTAAAATGCCTAGCCTTCTTTGGTTGTGACTTGTTACGTTCATGTCATGAAAATTTTGGGATATGAGAAAAAATATTCACTTGTAATTTACAATGTGTGTCTCACTTCGATAAAATCTCTGCTTCGTTTTGTGCCTTTCGCTTAGACCCTATGAGACCTTAATGCCTCGGTGCATCTAGCACCTTAAATAACACTGATATGGGAAATAGAAAGAAAGAATTTATGAGTGAGAAAAATAGAGACTCACTTCTTTGGTCCATTCTTCAACTATACGTAATATAGAAATAAGAGTGATAGATTGAATCTCGACATTCAACTTCTTAATTTCTCGACATACATAATTTCCTTCTTTCTCCCAAAAAGAAGATCTGATTCATGATAGTATGCTTAATAAAAAGATTCGGGAACATACCATACTTCAGATTGTCTAACTAGATACAATGGTTCAATATTGACTTGACTTGTTGACTTTGGCGGGGGATGGTTTGGGATTTGGTGTCATGTATTTCTTCGTCCAGTATTAGCTGTCTTTACTATGAAGAGGATTTCATCCCTGAGTTGTGATTGTGCCTCTAAATTGTTCTGATTGTTTTGGTTTTGCTTTCTTAATCATTATACATGTATGCATCTCTGATTTATCTAGCCTCTCTGACATAATCCATATAATTAGTCCACTATACATCTATACCAAAACGAACCCAACTTGGAAAAGCAAGCAACACCAGATGGATCGGTACAGTGATCGATGATACAAAATCTTGAAAGACCATACTTGAAAGCAAGTTTATAACATGTTATTTCACACTAGAATCCAAGAGACAGTTTTCAGGCTTGGGTTCCATGTAATGGCCGCACCAACCATTCATCTCACATGCTCTTCTTTTCATTGGAAATTAGTAGGGCAAATTTTCGTCGAGGATATTTTTCATGACATAAAATTTTGAGCATATTCAAGGATTTGAAATGTAAGATGTAATACTTCGTTTTTGTAGATACTAGTTGGAGCACATGCCCGTTGCACATATTATTTCAGTCTTATTTTTATGATTTCAAGAACGCTATTCGAATCACATACATAATGATAGTAAGTTTGAAAAAAAAAACTTAAACATTTAACATAAATTCTTACTAGGAAGTACCAATATTGGCTTGGAAAACAAATTATGCCATAACACAATTTTAGTTTATAGTTGCAAAATGTGGATTATGTTTTCTTTAGAATGAATATATGAGTATAAGGCTAAGAAAATAAGTTTGTTTATATTCTTTTTTCTTACCTCTTAAAGTTTTGAGGCATTATTGTCTCACGAAACTCCATCTCCTAGGATTTAGAAATTTTCACTAAAAATTAATAATTTAGATTGATTCTAGTAGTAATATCATGGTAATTGTTCAAACACATGTAATTGTATTTGTAAATACATAGTTACATATATTAAAAGAATCACGAAAACATATAGGTACTTAAAAAAGAGCAATGATATTGGGACATAATTTGGGGATATAATGCCTTATGATCAATGGATTGATAGTGGAATGCATTTAACGCTGCTTTGGGTCCTATCATTAAATGCATTCCACTATGAATTTGTTGGTCCTAATCTATTATGGCCCCAAATTATGTCTCTCAATTACGTCTCAATAGCATTAGTGTTAAAAAAAATGGAATGAGGAAAAAAGTGTAGTAAATTTATTTCAAGAAAGAGCTTAACCACAAGAAGTAGATTTATTTAAGAATAAAATACTACAAGAAGTAGTGTGACAATTAGAAGATGAAACAAATATAATATGGTACGATAGTAGAAACAGATTAAAAAAACATCTATTGATGTTCTTGAAGAATCAAGAGGTAATGGATCATTCGCGAGAGAAACTTAATGGTGGAATGATGAGGTCTAAGTTGCGGTAAAGAAAAAAGAGTGCACTATAAACCATGGCAAAAAACTAAAAACAACGAGAACTATAAAAATTACAAGCCTGCAAATTAAGAAGTAAAAAAGTGGATAAAAAAATCTAAGTATGAAGCATATGATGATTTTTACTCTAAACTACACTGATTGAGAAAAAGTATATATAAACTTTCTAAATTAAGAGAAAGAAAAAACTAAAGATATTGATCATACTAAATGTATTAACTATTAAGAATGGAGATTCTAGAATTTAGAATTTTGGTACAAAATGAGAAAATTAAAGAAAAGTGAAATAATTATTTTTCAAGTTACTAAATAAAAGCCATATAGGACGCTTAGACATTGAGGATTATAAAATCATTTATTGATCAGAGAAAACACATTTTTTCATAGGATTAGGATGTTGAAGGTAAATGAAGACATGAACAACTTTAGGACCGGAGGGTATATCTTGAATTATGGAAGTGTCTAGGGGATGTTGGGGCATTTG